CCTTTCCCTTTGCTAACATGCAGCTCCCTTGCCTTCCTGCGGCCGACACACTTGCTCAAAAGGCACAGCTTTGCAGCTCCTGGCAGGATTTCCCTCAGGTGAGTTTCTCCTTGCTCCTGCCTGTAACTCTTAGCAACCTTCCCCTGGCAGCTAAATCCCAGTCCCACCCCGCTCCCCCTTCCCACGTTTATTATAATAGTCCTGTAGTATCAGCAACGTCCAGGATCTCTTTGAATCCAAGGTAGCCTCCACTATCATTAATTCAAGTTTTCATTTATCCATGTCCTTTTTGTATCTATCACCTGGTCTCTTTCAAATCTTCACCCTCCAAACTTGTAAAGCTTCTCAGCTCTGCTTCTGTCTGCAACTGTAATGCCACAGACTTGAGAAACCTCGTTGATGTATTGCCTAGGACACAGCAAGTAGTTTTTAAGTATCACATAAGGGGGAAGGGCAGAGCCATTTCTGCATGGCAGAGACATAAAAAAGGAAGTAACATCTTCATTGCACCGGTTTCATACAGCCCTCTCTTTTCGTAAAGGATAAAAGTAGGAAACGGAAGGAACTTGGTACTTTTAGCCAAGCCCTTACATGGAGCGCGGCAGCAAGTGACAAGCGCAAAAAGCAGCTTCCCCAGAAAGCTCTTAGAGCACGCTGTTCTCCATACTGACTTCAAGGCCAGGCTCGTGCAGCTAAGCCTTCCGCAGTTAGGACAGGGAGTTACAGAGGAAAATAAAAGGTAAGTGTTTTACAATCTACAACTCAAGCTGCCAGGTGCAAATTACTCCTAGACCCAGAAGCAGCTGACACGTATTACCAGCGTACGTACAGCCGGAGCTGTGAAGCCCTGCACTGATCCACGTTCTCCCACTGAGCAACCTCTTGAGTGATCACGGGCGGAGGGAGGCAGCCAGATACAGAGACTGCACTACTGGTTTGACTGCAGCAGAGCTGGCTTCCTAGTCCTGCTGAAGGCACAGATCCCAGTAATTCTAGAAGCAGATATCCCTCTCAGGTAATTAAAAGAAATTTAAAATCCCAGTTAAGTAAAGTAAGAGTTATAGAAGAGACTGAAACAACATGACTGTAAGTACACCATCTCTGTCAAGAAGCCTTTGTAAGCATGCAAGAGCAAGGCCTAACCTTTCAACAGCTCAGAGGTCCCTCATGCCTCAACAAAATTAATACAGAGCATTCAAGCCAGCAGCTGATCACAAGCATGGGCTTGTGGCACGAGCTGCAGGGTGACAGCAGATCTCCCACCACTGCTCTAGGGAGTTCCACCAACCATAGCAACAAAGACAAGCTCCAGTTTCCAGCCACTTTTCCCAACCCGAAATAAATGCACTCAGTAATCACCATTGGAGTTTATTTTTCTTCATAACTGTGCAGTTTTTAAAATTCTACAGTAACGATGAAGTCATTGGCTACTACGTTCTTTAAGTGTGGAAACAGTTTTCAAAAAACAAAGACCATGCACTATGAGTGAGGAACAGGCCATTGACTCTTCAGCTGGAATATACAGACATTTCCGCTAAATACTGATCACTTTAACACTTAAATGGAATGACATGTTCAGATTTCTACACAGTCCACTATGAAAACAGCACGGTAAGTTACATAAAAGCTTCAGCTTTAAGGTTCCTTGCTTTTTTGTTAAATTAATTCCTTTGTTAGAAAAGAGAAATGCAAGAGTATTTGAAATTGAGTGTCACCTGGACAACTTTTTTCCCCACTATTGTAGGCAAGCTCCTGTTATCAAGATAATTCCATCAGAGCTGGCAGTTAAGTTAAAATATATATAAAAGAATCCCACACACCAGTTTCAGGAGTTGTTACAGGCAAATATCTTCATGAATTTGGAATGGGTTTTCAAAAACTGTATCTTGACATTTATTGCTGTTGCTTGTAAACTTGAAATCCAGTTTATTCCTTTGAAGAGTGTCAGAAGTACAGAGTCAGCGAGATGCGTGTTTTACTTGTATCTTTGCATTTTGGTTAAGAAGAAAGAAAAAGATGACCCACGCTTGAGAATACACATACACCTCTATCTGCAAAACAGCCTATACAGACTACAGCAGAACAAGGTAAGTCCTAAAGTAGCAGTATTTAAAAATATCAATAGGGTAGAAACTTAGCTCATCTGACATATCTGAAAACTCTTTTTCCTCCCACGCTTGGCCAGAGTTTAGCCAGTATGCAAGGAAGTTTGGCTCTCCTGTAGAGAGGAGCAGTTTCTATAGATCAAGATTTCAGAGAGAACAAAGGTGCATTTTACTGGAACTGACAGAGGCACAGTGCCCTATATATTCTTCATGCTTAGATCTATTTAGACTGTTTCCCACTGCTAAAGGAGGAATGTGAGGCAAGGACAGGAACCCATGTTCGTTACAAGTATTGCACAGTTTTACCACTTGCCAGTTCAGCTAGCAATGTGGTCTCAATACAGACCCTCAATACAGAGGGATTTGGAGGACGCAAGAGATACCTACTTTTGACATGCTCCAGCTCACCTTGAGCACTGCCAGCCTGAAGGTGCTACCCAGCATAAACTGGCTAAACTGCCATCTTGTCGAACTGAGATGAAAGGGGTGTTAACTTTTAATGGACACATTTGCTACAAGACAGTTTGAGAGACTGCATTCCATAGGTTTCCATCTCTTCCTCCTCTACCCGCCACAAGAAGAGACAAGCAAACACATTTAAGTTAGTATGTATTTGTGTAAACACCAGAACGTTTTGCTATACAATAGAAAAAAGTTGCTGCTCTTATGTTCCTAGAGGAGCCCTGAAGATCTTGGAATACCTGTATCCTGCAACTATTAATCTGTACCACGTGCATTTCCTGTTTTGTACAAAAACTGAAAGCAAGCTTGAACAATAGTAAATAGCAACTACACTCCTGCAACAGGTAAAAATGCTACGTTGCAGCTGCTTACTCCTTCACTTTAGATATGTAGTCAGCCAGTTTGTTGATGCTATCCTCTTGCTGTTCTAGAGCATCCAGTATGATGCCCATCGGGGTCTTCTTCAAGCCTATTCCTTCCATCTTGTTCTCCAGCTTGTTCTTTATGTTCCGGAGCCTCAGAGAAGCATGGACAAACATCACTGCATGACAGAAACACACTTATTAATTGTTAATGCCCAAGGAATGCATAGTCCTTGCAGCATTCATCTTAAGACACACTCCAATGCCATGACGTCACTGGAAGAAGACAAACTCTCAACTACCACTTAAGTAACTGCAGGTACCCATTTAACAATACCATTAAAGATGGCTTGTGCTGTTTTGTGTGTCCCCTTCCCCCCCAGTTTTGTTCTGGGATCGTTTCAATAGAGATAGCAAAGGCAACAGTCAATTTAGACTCTGCAGATTTGGGAAAGCTCAAGTCACAAGCCCCTAGCCTGCCAGAGAAGAGGAAAAATACTTACGGAGGAGAGGAAGCGTGATCCCAAACATGAACACCATGACATCTCCCAGATAGGAGATCAAGAAGTAGCTAGACAGCATGATGACCACTACAAATGTGGTTGGGTACTGCTTCTTCAGTCTGCGGAGTATATCCTTGTTGTGTGATACCCACACAAACCCCATGAACACCAGCACCACCACAGTACCGCCAATAAGCATATTCAGGGGACTCAGAAATCTGGAGAGAAGAGGGGAAAAAAAAAAAAGAAGAAAGTGTCCTGTTTCAGAGCCTTCATGACTTGTGTCCGTATAGCAAACATCTAGCTCACTGGCAACTTGTTACTAGGGAGGTAAGGCACTAAGAAGTCAGTTATTGCTGTCAAGACCTTCATCAACCTCTGATTTTTAGGCAGAAGATACTTAGCTTCAACAAGTGCAACTGAACAAGCACCCCTTAGCAGCAAATTTAGATAATCTTTATGTTCTCTTCCTGAGCATAGCTCAGGATAATGAGAGTTTCTGCAGCACCTCATCAACAGAAGCACTTACCACCAGGACCCTTCCTACCTCTGCAATCACCACATTCACTTGACATCAGACCCAGAGTTGGCAAATCCCGCAAGCGGATAGAGCCAACAATCAGTTGCCCAAGGGATCGATCTTTTCCATACACATGACCAAAACCAGGCTCAGCCTAGGCCTTCAGATGAACTAGCTTTTCATACTGTCTTGTCTAGGTTTGGAAAATGGGAAAGGTAGGGGAACACTGAGTAAAGTAACTTACTTCACAATTTCTTATTTCCAAATAAGCCTTCTTATTGGTTTACACCCAAACAAAGTAGTTTTATGAACCTCCAGAAGGAGCTTACTACCATCAGCACAACAGATGAAGACCAGTCCCAAGCATGCCTGAGAGTCAGAAAACTGGCGTATGGGATAAAGGTCTTGCGGGAAGAAGAGCCAGGCCTGGCAAGAGGGTCACTGCTGAGGTTTGTGTTCTATTATCGTTACCGGAGTTACCAAGCAAACCAAGCCATCAAGTGGATCAGCTTTGGACTATAAACAGCAAGTCCCTTTTTTGGACCAGGGCAAGAACATCACCTGCTCAAACCACTTTCCCAAGTATTTAGAGCTTGTTTAGAGTCAAGCTTTCAGCAATGACATTGCTTAGCTTGTTTCTATACTTGCACAAAGTCCAGCCTCTATTATATTTCACTTATATAGTACTAAGTTATGTGATTCCATGTGCATTCTGATTTACTTGCTTGTATGTTCACTGATCTAATTACACAAGAGCTGAGGGCTCTGAGCCGCTACAATTATGACAGCAGCATAACACTGCCCCGATAAAGCCAGATGTAGTCAAGATTTCCTCTCGTAGACTTTGCAGTCAGTCTTCCTGTTCCAGAGCTAGCAGGCAGTGACACACCACTCCACCCCACTGCTGAGGAGGATGCTATGGTTTGTGGTCTGTGCCTCATATCCGGAACAGGCAGAAGAAATCTGTTGCTGGACTGGTACGCCAACACGTTACCTGCAGTGCCAGAGAGCCTTTTCCTAGAGAAGGAAGAACCCTGAAGAATTATTTCAGAGCAGAGACTGGCTCTTAATTAAGTCAGTTGTGCCAAAAGCCGACAGGACAACTGGATGGAAGGAGATTAAAATTCAGAGTAGTTCCCCACCTGCTTCTGCTACTCACGCTGAAAAAGCCAACAAGGCTTTTTGGAAGTGGTGATAGGGCAGACTTGCTTGTTGCATCTGAGTCACTCCCTGTAGCCAGCCATATTATTTTTAGCTCCGAATGGTCAATCTTAAGTTTCCAGGCTGGAAAAAGTGAACAGCATTGCTCTGGAAAGAAATCAGTTTCATCTGTGCTCCTTTGCAGCAGGAGGAGGGTGACTCATGACTGGACCACACTAGTGCCTGGTTTATATATGTACTACTGGACATATGAGATTCTTAAATTAGAAGTCACCTCCACATCACAGCTAGCTTGGAGCAGAAATGGCCAAACTTATTCAGGCAAGTCACAGCAACCAATTTTTTGTTCCCAAAAATCTACAGACAAGATAATGCTGGCAGCAACAAAGGGCTAGGCAGAGCTCCACTCTACATTTTCCACGTGTCTGGTAAATACTCTCAAAGCTTTATCTTTCCTACCCTTCCTTCTACTTTCATTACAACTTCAGAAACGGGTGGTGAAGAGCGATCCCTCCATATTTATAAGGAAAAGACCAAAGACTTTTCTGCTCTACGCTTCTTTCTGGTACTACACAGGTTCTGTATAACTGACTGACTGCATGGGATGTAAAGGAAAAAAAAAAAACCACACCAAACATTCAAAAGATCCCATTTTACTGGGGAAAGTTATTTGAATTACATGTTTTCTGAAGTGGGCTGCATTCCAACGCATAAAAGGAAACAGTGAACATAAGTATCAAATGAAGTCATTCAGAGCCACTTGAAAACAGATGGGGATAGCAGTTGCCACTAAAAACTGGTATTCAAATTATCAGCCATGTGTCCACAGACTTCAATACTGTTGATTACAGTACTGGATAGGGTGTCAGATGCCAAGCTCCCCTTTATTGCTCGACTCGCCCACATCATAATTCACAGCACTAAGATTCTCCTAGAAATTCACATACAGAAACAACTTCTTCAGCAATGGTGTTTTTTGGGAAGGCAGACCACCATTAGGCAGTTTCGCTCAGATCTGTTGGCACACTGCTCTCGCTAACACAATAGCTAAACACTAAAAAGAAAAACCCATGGACACATTATTTTAGAACACCAGCGCCTGGGGAAGAGAGCGCTGTATAACAGCCCTAGAAGTTATCTTATAGTTGAACAACCAATGTTGATATTGGCCTTATTTATATACAGATGAGAACACATTATGCCAAAATCATGCTCAGGCAAGAAGGCTGGAAGTCTTTCAAAGCTGCAGAGACAAGGTAAGTGACCAGCTATTAAGTACATTTAGAAAGTATCTTGTAATGTAATTCCCTTTAGCAGGGATTTATGAGACCTCTCAAACACCTAAAGATGCAATGCTCAGAACTATTAGCATGGCAATGGCGTGGTAACTTGAGTTTACACTGCTCAGATGACTTGGGGGAAGAAAAACTCTTTGGGGGCTGGAGAAGAAAACCACTAACTTTCCCGACCCTGAAAGGAGTCGGTATGGCAGGACTAAACAGCATTTGGGGGTGCTAACAGCTCAGAGCACCCTCATTGCTCTCTGCAGTGGACAAGGTACAACCCTGGTAGGATGCTGTGACCTCCAGTACAGCTGGGATAAACTGGCAAGAAAAAGCTGTCACCTAAGATTCAGTTCCAGCAGTGTTGCGGGGCAACTTGCAATTGCATCCTGTTGCTCTTCAGAGACCAGATTTCCTTCAGCACCTGCTTTGATACAAAGTAAAGAGACGGGGGGGAAAAAAAAAGTAAAATAAAAGAAACATCCTGCCTGGCTTCAGGCTGCAGGGACACAGGCGTTGTCCTGTACCAAGTAGCACCATGGGACACTTTGTGTTTGTGGAAGTAATATCAGAAGACAGCAGAGATGCAGCAGCTGTGGGTGCAGTTGCGTGAGAAGTAGTACTGGAAGCAAAGCAGCCACCTCTGGCTAGCAAAAACAGAATAAGATGACTTTTTTTTTAAAACTGGATTTGTATTTCTAGACTCTGCCCTACACACATCACAAGACAGGTTAGATTTCCCATATAGGTGCAAGAAAGCCCAAAGAGCTCTGCTTTCAGTGACTTACCGCATCACCTCTTGTTGACAGGTTATTTCCTATCTGCACACTTGTGCACAGCCTTATAGCAGGAGAGGTGAGCAGTTACTTGGAGAATATACAGCTACAGCATTAGGGGAAAAAGAGCTAGGCAACACGCATCCTTTGTGCAAGCACAAGAAGCACCCAGCAGTGTAAGCCCAGAAATAGCACAGGCCACATAAAAAAAAAGCAAGCTAGCTCCATCCTTAAATCATCTCCATTTTAGATGACTCTCTCAGGGTGATTGTTCAGCAGTTGCTATAACATCTGCTTCTTTTGCATGTGACCAGGCAAGTCTGCACAAAGGCACTGGGTAGGAGACTTCCAGTCATTGAGAACAACATCTTTTTTACTTTGAGCAACTCAGGCCATTACATCAAATAGGCATGAAAATTCCCCTTTAGAAGGCCTTTTGCTCCATTGTGTTCCAAGCGGTGGTCAGGTTAGGAAGCACTTAAATGCTTCCTTTCTCATTTGTATTAATTTAAACAACTTTAAAGATAAAGTTCTGCTTCCTCTCTCCCCATACTTCTAGCTTCAGTGAGGTTATACAGCTGGGACTGAAGGTAGCACATAAAACTACATATGGCATGTTGTCCCAGGTGACAGCCCTCAGCATCCACAGATTTAGCAATGCTTCTTTACTTACTGTTGATCACTTAGATTGCTTTGAGAACAGGAGACAGATTCCTTTCTGCAGAATTGCCAGACTTTTATGAAGTTATGTACTAATATTATTATGCAACATATGTTTTAAAGCGATGTGTTTTGCTCGCTCATTCTTAATCTTTCATTAGGCATTAGAGAAACTAAGCATTTCGCTGCTCTGGAGTCTTTGTTTTGGCAAAGGAATCGTTATAAGCACATCAGCTAAGGCAGTGGTCTGGGGGAGGGAAATTAAAAAAAAAAAAAGAAGAAAACAGACACACAGTCATTGATTGCTAGGGGTTGTGCACATGGACAGCAGATGTTTTAGAGAAGAAGTGGCAAAGGAAAGAGACATTGAACTTCAGGCTGCAGGGAAGACATTATGCCAGAAGAGAATGAAGACTCTTATATGCAGCACTCTGAAATCCAGTACACCTTTTAGTACTGTCACATTTAGAAACTAATTTTTAACAAGTACCTGGCAACAAAAGCCTAGAAGTAATTACATCAATTGAAGCAGTTAAGTTTGAACTGCAAGACAGAGAAGGCTTGTTGGAGTAGGTGAAAGCACAGACAAATTCCACTGATATTTTGAGGGAGAGTTGCAAGCTCTTGTGGGAGGCACTAATTTTGATAAATATCTGTACAGCACTCACAGTGACAGGGCCCCTGGCTCAGGGGAAGAATGGGCAGTCCAGTTCCTATACAACTGGGAGAAAGGGCATAATTTGATTTAGTAAAGATCTTGGTTTTTATCAGCAGTCTACTGCAACAGAATTGTAAGGGAAAAAAAACCCAGCACACTAGTCCAGATTA